GAAAGCCGATACGCCTGGGTTTAGGGTTTAGGGTTTGGGGTTTAAGGTTTGATGTATGCCTCATTGGTTTTCAAACAAGGTATCAAGCCCTGCCCCGGTAGTCCGTGACTAGGGATAATAATCTTAAACGCAAACATAACCATACCCATCATACCATACAGCGAAATATACTCGACCCGAAAAACCTCGTCTAATTAGTGCTCGTGGGGTGTCAGACTAATAGTGGGTCCGGGTTGGGGGTTAGCAGGCTCAGCACTTGATTATTTGATTAAGATGTCTGTTTGCGCCTTCCTTTCAGGATGGAACATGATGCTACGCTGAACTTGTCTGAGCTGTACTTGAAGCTCAGCCTTTGTAGCTGAGCCAAAAGAGCGCGGGCCAGGCCCTGCACTAATTGGGGCTTAAAGAAACCCTTTCAAACCGGATGAGCCCTGAACAATAGTTCGCAAAAGGCTCCAAAACCTCTTTACACTGGAAGCGGCAGCAAGCTCAACGTTGCCATGAAGCCATAAAAGTTTCTCTCGCCATTCAGACTCCAGCTGCGACAGGTGCACCCGGTGATGCAATCGCAGCTTTGCTGGCCTAGGTGTTTTCTGCTTCTAATCTAAACTGCAAAACCAAAAGCCCTAAACCCTGAACTGTATACCATAAAACTCCTCAACCGGCCAGCTGTAGGGATTGAAGCCTGGCTGTCGAGTGGGTCATTATCTAGGTAGGATTTCGGGTCTAGGGCAGAACCCAGAGGATCTTGAAACCAAGAAAACAACAGGACTGGCAATCAACCGCATGGAAGGTGAAATCCTAACGGGTCCTAACTTAACTGTTGGTACACCAGTAGGCATGAGGCTCATCATCATCATCACCATCATCATCATCCTCATCATGATCATCATAATCCTCCTCCTCCTCCTCCATCCCCTTCCGCATCCTCATCATGATCATCACCATCCTCATCCCCATCCTCATCCTCCTCATCTTCCTCATCCTCATCGACATCATCACCATCACCATCACCGTCACCATCACAATCATCACCATCGTCATCATCATCCTCATCCTCCCCATCCTCATCATCATGATCATAATAATAATCATCATCATCAGCATCATCAGATGCACAAGACATGCTAGTAACAACCATGACATGGCCAGCACCCTCACCGAAAATGACACCACGGAATGGGAATAGTCTCGAGCCGGAAACTTTGGGCCCTAAAACAAAATACATGGATTACCCTAAACCCTAAACCCTATGCAAGGATCTTGTGAGCTTCGGAACCTTGGAGTTCTAAAACGACTGGGGCCAGAGGTCCGAAAAATTCTGTAACCTAGGAGCCCGAAAAAATAGAACTGTTCTTATTATGCTTCTTGCGGGGGGGCGGGGGGGGGAGTGCATATTAGACTGCGCTAATATAGGGACTTTCGTGGATTTTTTATGGTGCAGTATTGATTCCGACCCCGGGTACCGCCCAACACTGCGATTGAGGGCTGGGAAATGGGAAAGGAACAGGAAAAAGAAGCTTAAACAAACTAGGCTTGGCCAACTAGCGGGTTTAGGGTTTAGGGATTTAGGTTTAGCTTATTAGGGTATTAGGGAACCTTGACAATCACGATCACTAGTTCTTGCCACCGGTGCCACCGCTAGGAATGGGGTCACCAAAGCGCCATTAGTGACAATAGTGCGGCCTACACCCTCAACCGTGGATTCCTGAGACTAAACCCAAACAAAGCCTTAACCCCCGGAAACTTACAGCACAAGTCGCTCTCACAAGGTACACCTTCACAGGGTACATCTCTCCAGGTTGGTAGCTTTGCAGGAGGTATCACATCCGTATCGCTCCTGGCCCGAGATTCTTACCAGCAAAAACTCCCAAACCCCGACTCAACTACAATAGTAGTACCCTAAACCCTAAACCCCAAACCAACTACAATAGAATAGTAGTACTATAACAGTAACCATCATCAACAGTGACAGTAACAACATCATGAAACATGGTGAATACAAGTAAAGCAATGTTATGAGGAGAAGAAGAAGAAGAAGGATCCCTCTATGTTGAGTAACGAAGCGGTTTGGAAGCCTCCCGGTCTCTGCATGAAAAGGGGTTTCGGGTGAAATGCTCGGGTTCAGGGCTGACTCGCCGAAACTAATCATGCTATTTACCCGACACGAAGCCCGAAACTGAGCTGCTGTCCATAGAAGCACGCGGAGTTAGGACCAATCTAGGCTTAAGCAACTTCTTCCTGAACATCTTGAGGTGTGGCCAGTATAGGGATCTGAATCACTACGGTTCATGATATAAATCCTGCATTACCCCATAATAAGGAACATACCATAATTCCCATAGTTTAGGGTCCTTGAGGTAATGCAGGATTCATTAGCATCCCCTGGCAGTCCGTAATCACCAGCCTCTGTCGCAACACCGTGTTCGAACTATCGAGGCCCCCTGGACTACTTCCAGTCCCACAGAGGGCCTTTGAGCTCCGAGCTCTATGAAGCACGAACTCAGAACCCTGCCTCAGTGAAGCTCACCACTTGCAACTGCAACCCGCCCAACTCTGAAGCCTACACCCTGAGGCCCTGATCCGTCAAACCCCCTTGCTAAAGCTTAGACACCAAACCTCATACTTATCAAGCCCTCAACCCCTCAAACTGTCAGCATCTGTAAGCCAAGCTTAAGTTGTGGCTCTAGGCTTACATGTTGAGTCCTTAACCTTCATGCAGCCCCTATTCCGCAAACGACACTTCCAAAACCTCTACTCCACACGCCTGGACCCCGAACCCTTGCCCTTACACCCCCGAACCCCTTTCACACTCTTCTTCGAATCAACCTTAATAAGATTCTCAGAGACCCCACATGAAAACCCTCGTCGATACATACGCATACACGAAACCTTGTAGAACCCATATGAACATCCGAAAAGCCCTCTTTAACACTTGCAGTAGTTTATAGCACCCGTGTCGACCCTTCTAGAATCCAGAAAGACCCTACAGAGCACTTCTACAGCCCCTCTTAAAACCCACTAGACGCCACCAGAACCCTTCTAGAACCCCTAAAGCCCACACCCACCCTACGCCCCTAAACCCCCCAAACCCTACACCAAAGCCCTTAAGCCTAAAACCCGACCTGTAGGTGAACCCACGGCTGATTTCCGCCGCTGCCGGCGTCTGCTGCCAGCGCAATTTGATCAACTTCGTGGTCCACATCGATAGGTAGACCGCCTCTTTGGGTGTACGGTTTGGGGTTTAGGAGTTTAGGGGTTTAGGGGTTTATAGGGTTTAGGGGTTTACAGGGTTTAGGGGCCTGAAACCCTAAATAGCCCTCAAGCCCTGAACTGCCCTAAGCTTCTTTGTTGTTCCGGGTTGTGTTGCTTGTTTGACCTCCTTCGGGCTCCGATTCTGCTGTGATTACCGCCATCTGGGTAGGTTCCACGGTTTTCTCGTTGAAGCTATCTTAGGAAGCCCCATGGACGCATCATATAAATTCTATACTTGTTCAACTCCGGTTTCTCCCACAATCCAATGAAGAAACACTCCGGAAGAGAGCCCAGCTGGGGGTGAGCTCGGATTTAAGGCTAGAGTAGAGCTTAGAGCTTCATGCCTTGGGTTAGCATGCAGTTGAGGGTTCGGGTTGCCACTCAGAACTCAACTCCCAAGAATCTTCAAACTGGCAGTTTCTATGGCACCCTTTAAATACTGCTGATGATATAAATCCTGCATTACCTTAAGGACCCTAAACTATGGGAGTTACGGTATATTTCCTTATTATGGGGGTAATGCAGGATTTATATCATCAATGGTATTGCACCCTTGGCCGGTGCCAAGAGACTGCACAACGAACTACACCGAAACCTGAACTCCGAATCCCTAAACGGTTTAGGGCTTATAGGGTTTAGGGTTTAGGGCTGATGGGTGGCACATTGCACCTGGTCCCCTTCGTGCAGAAGCGGACAGGGATGAAGGGGGATTTGAAGCCACCAGTCGCTTTCAGCTTGGACACTTCGGTCCACCGTCCCATTGCATAGCCTCGGTCACGGAACCCTAAACCCTAAACTCTTAAACCCTAAACCCTAAGCCCTAAACCCTTAAACCCTAAACCATAAACCCCTAAATCGCCGATATCGGCTCACTCGCAGACTACAACGGCGACTCATGGCCTGGACGGAAGGAGCATTTCTTCACCGAATATAGCGGCCTTCATAACTAGAATGGGGTCTTGGGGGAATATCATGTAACCAGGAGCCCCGAAAATTAATGTGGGTAATTTTTCAGGCCACTATATTACAACAGCAAACTGAGCATCCAAGCAGCTTGTGCCCTGTGGAATTGTAAAGGGCGGCGCCGACTGTGTAGGAAGCGTCGTCCACATCGCTGTGGCACTGACTGCTGTCGCACCTGGAACAGTCAGCGCATTTAACAGCCCTGAGACTTAGGAGGGGAGAGAACGAGAGCGAAACACAGACATCGAGAAATGGACAAAGACACCACAGCTACAGACAAGGACAGAAAGAGATAAGCAAACACATGGAAGACATGGATAGATGGATAGGTGCAGCTTATCGCTCGTTTGTGTGCACAAGTGCGTACCCATGCATGCATGTGTCATGCGTTGCGTGTCTGCCTCGCTTAACTGATTATTCCGCTGGCTTGTGCCATATTCCCGTGATGGATGGATGGATGGATGGATGGATGGATGGATGGATGGTGATGCTTCTTATTTATGCGAGTTCCCATGGCCGTGACTTTTGAACTCCACATCTCCACGTGAACCCGTGCCCTGGCAGTGTTGATGTCTCACCAAGGGAGTTTCACAAAATAGGCGACCTTGATCCTATACCGTAAGATGCAGATTACAATCTTACGGCATACGGATCCCAATCCTGCACTGATACTATGATTTCCGGTGGAAAAGAGGTACAACCCCCCACCTCACGCGAAGGCTCACGTTCAACGGTCGGCAGCCAGCAACACCACAGCGTGTTAAGTCGGTGGTGAACTTCCGGGTGTACATGTAGCGTCTGCCAGAACCTGAGGCGTTCAAATCATCAATGTCTACCTGAACACTATAAAACCAGCTGCTTTGAGGCTCCTTCTTATGGCTTCATGGTTTTCTAGAACCTAATGTGCAGAAGTCTTCTTGTAACCCGCTCTTGATTTGTGATTCTTAAGGCCAGTCTTGGCTTTAAGGTCCTTCGCCGGGCAATGAGGTTGGGCTTTGGATTTGGGCGCATGGGCTAGGGAACGAAATGATTATTAGAACTTCCAGCAACACCTCAACTCCCAAACAAGACTATGACTACGTACCGAAAACGAAGACACAACCCTAAACTAAAGACTTGTGATCCACCCGAAGCGCTTGTGGTGGTGAATGCCGATCCGAACTTCTGTGTCGCATCAGCAGGAGGAGCCAGCAGAACAAGATCGAGGCACTGAGAACCCACCTGGGTGCTTCTTAAACGGTTTAGGGTTCAGGGTTTCTAGGCTTTTAATCACAAGCGATATCCAGACCGCAGTTAGTTTGTTGTTTCGACTGCTGTAAACACACTGTACATACTCGAGATACAATATAATACATTGTAATGTACACGCACATACTGAATATGCTCTACATATACACTATATATTATGTAGTATATATATATAGATATGTATGTAAATAAATAAATAAATGAATAAATAAATAAGTATATATATATATATAGATATAGATATAGATATATGTATACGAATATACATACAATTTCACATGATACTTTTCAGGAAGGGACTCGGGACTCGGGCCACTTCTCGGATCCAAACCAGTGAGAGCATTTTAGGGTTGAAGGCTATGCACGAGGTTTTGGGGTTTCGGGCTCTGGGTTTTAGGGGGTTTTCAGGATTTAGGAGTTGTTGGCTCAGGGTTCGGCTTAGAAACATAACACTCTTGTGATAAAACGACGCGCGTTTGGAAATTTGGAAAATTATGTGCGCGCCCGTCTGTGCAAACGCTGCTGAATCTGCACTGCCACCCTAACGTGCTCCGGAGAGCATTCGGAGCAATCCTCACCTTCATAGCCAGCATCACATACGCAGCTGCCAGTCACAGCAACACCATGTTCGCCACAAGCCAAACCAAAGTTGACATCTGTCTCGCAGTCTTCCTTCCGCAAGGTGAAGAACAGAAACACCGCCCAACGTTGGAAATTCCAACAGTCAGGAAACTCCCTGAAATAGAGTCTAGGGCTTGTGGTGCTGTATTTCGCAAGCTTAAGTAAGGAATTCGGGCTTCTGATAAGAATGGTCCACAAAGCACCCTATACCTTGGACCTTGAATTTTAAAAATACCCCAAGTGAACCAGCAACTTGCCCTGCAATCCCCCTGGAACCTGCTTGGAGGCCCAGGGGACTTAGTAAGTGGGTTATAAGTAGAGTTATAAGTACCCTAAATGGAGTTACCCTACTTATAACCCTACTTATAACCCACTTACTAAGTCCCCTGAGCCTGGGCCCCCTCGGAGGCTAAGGACAGGTGGGGCCCAAGCGCCGGGGCCTCTTAGCTTTCTGCAGGAGGTATTTGAGAGCCCTGGGTGTTTTATTGCTTCCAAACCAGGACCACCGAACCACTTCATAAATGGGGTTAGGGTTTAGGGTTTGGGAACTTATATCGGATATGATGGTTTAGGGTTTAGGGTTTATGTTTTAGGGTCTAGGGTTTGGGAATTCATATCCCTATAACCCCCTCAATCCACTCCTGGTAGTGTGCGTTCAGGAAGGAAGCCAAAGCAGCGCCAACCTGCTTGATCGAAGCAGACTCGGGAGCTGGTGGCGACGAGCCGAAGCCCCTCATGGCCTCATGGCATGCTCATTTCCGTGCTTCTGCGTGAGGGACATTGAACTTTCAGAGTAACTTACGCTAGAGTTTGCCATAGCCCTAAACCCAAAACCCTAAACCCCTAAACTACTAAACCCCAAACCCCAAAACCCACGGCCTCTGAGCCCAAAAGCCTTAAAACAATGAGTTGTATGTAGAGTTTCAGATGCTCACCTCATGCGCTTCGGGCTTGGGGGCGAGCCTGAGTTTCCTTACACCTAAGCTCCTTCGTAGTTCCTCTCTGGGATTACCTGAATTAGAGGATTCTAAATATAAACCGCAAAAAGGAACTACTTAGGAGCCTATGGGTAAGCCCGGTAAACTGTAAACCCTAAACGGCGTTTCCGGGTATGGTTTTGAAGCAAAGCATGCCACGGCTAAGAATCTAGGTCAAGAATCCTGCACGCTCTCTGAGAAGAAACATCGTACACGCAGTGCACCTTTGGTGGTTGTTTAAAACACAAGTAACCATCTATCGTCAACATACAGCGAAACTATAATTTGCCCCTAAACCCTATTCAAATTGATCAGGCCGTACAATAAACACCCAAGAAACAGCCTATAACAACCCCATGAAATAGGCCCTAGAAAGAAACCTTATGAAACAAGGTTCAGAACCCAGACTAAGCCATAAACAAAACAACCCTGCAACAAAAAGAAAGCGCCAGTCTTCTGTTCACGAGCGCCAAATCTGGCGCGTGAGATGTTTCTCATGGCCCTGCCACTATTTTCCACACATCGTTTTGAGAGATGTCCTTCTGAAAGCAAGCGACATTTGCTTGAGTTTGCTGGCCCTGCCGCCACTATTCGGACTGTCTTCATCATAGTGCCGGCATGGATGCAGCGACAGTGGATGGGGTGGTAGCATGGACGTTATCATCGTGCGGACATGGATGTGGCGACAGTGGATGTGCTGGAAGCATGGACGTTATCCTCGTGAGGGCATGGGTGCGGCGCCAGTGGACTTGCTGGTAGCATGGATGCTATCATCGTGAGTGGATGTGCTGGTAGCATGCACCTATCATCGTGCGGGCATGGATGCGGCAACAGTGGATGTGCTGCTAGCATTGACGTTATCATCGTGCGGACATGGACGTGGCGACAGTGGATGTGCTGCTAACATGGACGTTATCATCGTGCGCGTGGCTGTAAGTAGGCCGCTGAGTAACCAGAGTGCTTGCGACGACGATCCCATGCGCTTACCAGCACAACAGGCACATGCGAAACCTTCAATGTTCCCAAAGCAGTCCTCCTGCCGACGATTGCACGTAACCCCCGAATGCTGAAACTGCGCGTGGGCAGCAGTGTGGGGAACAAATTATAGAAGCACATCAAGTAGCTAAAATCCTATTGCAAACCTGACAACCACAAAAAAAACCCATGGACATGGAGCCCTGTAAACATCCCTCACTGTTTCACAAACAAACTATTGAACCCTACTGAACAGGTGCAATCAAAATGAAACATCAAAGGCTAGCTGCATGCTAGGGCTGGCACGTAGAGCCCAATAATAAACAAAGACACAGCCGAGCAACTTAACACACGTAGACACTAGAATCCAAACAGAAATCTACAGGACCCGATAACAGCCCAATTATAACAAACCACACAAACTCCGCAAGGGCCCGAACATAACTGAACGTACACAACTACATAACCCTAAAAACCCTAAACCCCATGTCTTTGCCCACGCCCCCAAACCCTAAACCCCTAAACCCCTAAACCCTAAAACCCTAAAACCATAAAACCCTAAACCCAAAGCCCTAAAGCTCCCAGGCTCCAAGAGGTCGCGCCTTCGGAAGTTCCACCTGAATTCCGGCTCGCTCCTGGGCTCTTTCTATAGGCTTGAGATTTAGGCTTTTTGGGTTTTTGGTGTTTTTGGGGTTTTGGGGTTTTGGGGGTTTAGGAGTTTTGGGTTTTTGAGATTTAGGCTTTTGGGGTTTTGGGTTTAGGGGTGTTGGGGTGTCGGGGTTTTGGGGGTTTGGGGTGGCGTGTTCATGGTTCTTCCTGGTATGGATTAGGGTCTCGGGTCCAGCGTGGAGCTCGGGTTCCGGGTGTAGGGATAGCTCTGAGGCTTTAGGCTGCAGAGTTCGAACCGGATAGGTCTTCATAACTGAAGGGCTTTTTGCGAGCTTGTAGGGACTTTATGCAAGGTTATTTCAGTAGCCCAGTAGCCCACTGTAGAGTAGGTTACTGGGTTAGAGGCACTCTAAGACTTCGAGGAACAGTAATCCACTCTGTAACTCGGATCTTCGGGTTGGTTTAAAGTACATTCCCTCTCTTCTCTTCTCTTCTCTTCT